AAAATTAACTTTACAAGGTGTACAAAATCCAATTCGATGTTCAACCACACACAAAAGATACTTACCAACAAAACAGTAGTAGCATATGGCAAATGAGTAACTTTGGGATAAGGGTGTATGGTGTACATGGCTTGGATGGGGTTCAAACCAATGACAACTCAAAGTAAAATGAGTTAACTTTACTTATGTGGGCTGTCGTTTTGTTTTGAGGACGTTACTCTCTCAAAGAAATTCAGTGACCACACAAAAGGCCTCTCTCGGGTAGGGATTTTGAGTGCGGTGGTTGTCATCCTTCTTTATGGTTGTCCTACTTTGACAAAGTAATCGAAAAATAGTTTTAGAATGCCAATAAACCAAAAATAGGATTACTTGCAAAAAAAAAAATTGATTTGGACTTAGCCCAAATATCTTTCCCAAATCTGTCCAGTTCCAAATATGGAAAGTTTTTATGTTGGAACACTTATTCTTCAATCGCTGATAACTTGCTCTCCAGACCTAGGATGGCAACAATCTTGGTGTCTCGGGAAAGATCTTTCAAAGACCTTCAATTTGATATAAGACTCAACTATAAACAATAACAAGGTCAACAAGATATAAATCGTCGAGTTTGACATAGGGATTTCTCGGCTGCTGTAGAAATTTTCAGAAAAGCAGTGCGCAATAAAAAAATTGATAACTTCCAGACCACGTATCCAAACTAATCGATTCTTATTTCACTAGAAATCTAACTTGATTACATTTTTAATGGTACTAGTTTCATTCGATTTGGATATCTGAACAAAAAGATATGGTATTTCGAAGTTACTCTCTAATATCTGAACAAAATCTAGGGTTTCGAGAAAAAGTTGATAACTTTGGCTATAGATCTCGGATTAAAGTGAAATTTTATTTGTTGGAAAACTTTTTGGATTATGAATACACACAAACAAGAGTTAGACACTTTAAACCAATTTTTGAAATTAGTAACTTCTATGCCAGAATGATAGGAAATAAGCATGCGAAACAAGAACAACAGGATGAAGGTCTTTTTGTGATTTTCGAAATATGAGGGAAGAAAGACAAGATAGAATTTAAAAGCAATAAAATAATAAATATTCAATGTAGAGTCTTAGCTCTGATACCAAATGATACTCGATAACTCAAGCGTATGAACGATCTTAACCTATAGCCACTTAAATCCAATCGTATAAGTAGTTTCAACCCGACAAAATAAGAGCTAAAAGGATTACCTTTACAATTGTTACTTTGAGCAGCTAGATTACTCACTATGCTCGGTGCTAGAAACATTGCATGGGTTTGATGACCAATCAAACAAGCATGCTCCGAGGGTAAAATATGAATTACTAAGTTCAACCACACAAAGGAAATCTATATTTTGGAGTGGTTTTGTGAAGGAATGTTAATCTCAAGCGGAAGCGGTTGAATTCCTTTGAAATTGAAAACACGGAAAAAAACAAAATACAGGGGAAGAATGAGTTTTACCTTTTGAAGAACTCATTCTTCTCGTCAAACCAGTTGGGATCACTAATAGATCTTCCTTGTTATATCCTCGGCGAGGAACCGGTTTGTGGGAACCGAGAGGGATTGAGACCTTAAGAGGATTTTTTTAGAGAAAATCTTTTGTTTTGCAGGGAACAAGAAACACAAGTGCAAAATACTTCTGCAGTTTTTAACAAAAAATGAAGTGAGGTAACTCTCCAAGTCACGACAACTTCTCAATCCCCTGTAATTTTGTAGGGGGAGTTTTAATTAATAATAATATTAATAATAAATAATAATATTAATTATTAATTTAATTAAATAAATAATTTAATTATTTATCTAATTAAAAATTAATTAATTTAATTATTTATCTAATTAAAAATTAATTAATTTAATTTAATTTATTCATTCAATTATTAATCTAATTAATAATTAATAAATTTAATTATTAATTATTAATCTAATGAATAATTAATTAATTAAATCCTAAATATTAATTAAATAAATAATTAACAATTAATTATTTATCTTAAAAAAAATAGTTTTTTAAACTTTAATAAAATATCACATATTTAATTAAAAACTATATATTTGAATCATATTCAAATGCATCTCTCTTGTTATAACCTATAGATTTAATGTACATCTTAGTGTACATTAATTTTAACCTATAGTATTAATATAATTTCTCAAAAAAAAAACCCCTATAGTATTATATGAATCCAATTCCTTCACAACAAGGTTAATTTTAATACGACCATGATGAATACAAGTGCAAGTGTATACTATATTCATCGATTGTAATACGAACGTGGTCGAATCCACAAGGACTTAATGTAATATTTAAAGTCGATACTGAAGAATACCACAAGTGCAAGAAAATAAAATAAAGTTGTTTTGTATTAAAAACTGTAATGAAAACACCATAAACAAAAGCAGTAAACGATTCAAAATGTGAACACAATCTACAGATGTTGGGGCAAGAAAAAGGCTCTAACACAGCGAATAAAGAATGGGTAACATATATGGGAAATACGGGGAGACCCCTTATTCTCTCACTAAATCCCAACATCTACTCTAGCATAAAAACAATTGCTACTGCTCAACTCGATACGGTTCCTACCAAGATACCCAAACATGAATATCCACAACTCTCGTTGCTAGATACCCAAGTGATAAAAATAAATTCTAAGCATGATTAGGGGACCCTATTTCTGAGTTTCCACAAACCGCTAACATAAATAGCGGCTAAATCACAAATAGAGCAAATCAAATAACCATACAGACTTCTGGATCATACAGCAGCTAACAAACTAAAAGTGTCCAGCAATGGTCAGTAAGATGAAATAAATCTGCACAGCACTATTAATAATAAAGTGAAATCAGCTAGAGTATCAATTGTTCAGAAGTTACAACATTGAAATCTCCCCCTAAATGGGATTTAGTTCATGGGGAAGTGGGAAAACGAAATGGGTAAGCAGAGAATACAACCCATTTTAAAGAAGAAAACAAACACGCAGATGAAGAGACACCAGCACGCGAGGACCAGCAGCTTCTCTCTGTCGTCAGCTCTCCTTTCCAAAATGGTGTAATTCTGCTCCTTGTCTTTTCCAGCACGCAAAGAATGTTCTCTATTGGGATCTTTGTGTGTCGGCTAGGTCATTATGTCCCTTTTATATTGGGTCTTAATTTTAGGGCACCAAGCTGTAAAACGTACATGTATGGTCAAATATCCTCAATTATGTACTGTGAAACCATGCCCAAGCATATGATTGCTTCAGCTTCTCAAACTCCAGCTTAAGAATGCTTCATCAATATCTGTCTGGGCTCTGCGCTTTTCTCCTGCCTTAGTCCTTAGCTTTCAATTTTGCACAAAAGAGCCAATAATAGAGGAAATGAGCAAGAACTTAAGCCAAAGCATCCAACACAAGGAAATTATGCTCATTTCACATATTCTATTTCCATTTATGATTTTTAAGAGCTAAGATAGACACACAACAGCATTAATTATCACAAAACTACCCATATAATAGCTAGAATAACTCTTTTTTGGAGAGTATCAATAATCATAAAGGGGAGATTATAGGATGAGAAGTTTGAAAGATGTTTGAAACAATGGGGGATAGAAAATGTGTTGACGTTGACTGTCGATAATGCTTCATCAAATGATACTTCTATTGCTTATCTAGTAAAGCGTTTCAAACAAGGATTGGTGCTTGTGATTTTTTGCATGTTAGGTGTTGTGCACATATTCTAAATTTGATTGTGAGTGATGATTTGAAAGATGTGCACGAGTCAAATGACTAAAATTTGAAATGTTGCAAGATTTGTTAATCTTCTCCTACTAGATTTGGTAAATTTTTAAATCTTATCCTACTAGATTTGGTAAATTTAAGTGTATTGAAAGACGAGAATATATCTAGCAATAGTCTTGCATGTCTTAATGTTCCAACTAGGTGGAACTCGACATATTTAATGCTTGATGCTAAAAAAAATGAGAAGTCATTTGAATGATTAAAGAACTACGACATAGCCTACTTTAACATGAAAGATTATCAAAATCTAAAAAGTACTGATCGGAAGATTTCGTGTACATTTACTAAATTTTTATTAGTAATTTATGAACTGGCCTTAGAATTTATGGTTCTCTTTATAGTACGTCCAATATGGTCTTCCGTTAGATTTCTACTATCAAAAGCATTGTATAAGAAACTATTCTTATGATAGCGGTAATCTCATTCTTGCTACCATAACGACCGAAGTGCAGCTGAAATATGATAAATATTGGGAGAATAGTGAAAAGACAAATTACTTATTATATGTTGCATTTATTCTAACCCTCATTATAAGATGAACCTTCTTATGTATTGTTTCACTCAGCTATTTGAGGCTAATGTTGCAAAGGGAATGGGAAAGAAAGTAGATGTTTTGAGACAATTATTTAATGAGTTTAATTTGTCTATGTCTAAGAATGTTTCTTCTACTTCTGCTGCTTTAATTTGTCTACGCTCGAATGCTATTAGTATTGAACTTCGATTATATTTGGAGGAAGTTCCCGAATTGAAGAAGGTTTGGAACTTTATTAAAGAATTACGTATATGCTGATGTTTTCTAATGTTAATAAGTTAACTATAACTTCCTTTTATTTTTGCATATTTCAAAAAATGTACATGCATAGAGGAAGCAACAAATAATAACATTAACATGGATAACACTACATGAGGAAAATAGAATGCTTCGTTGTAAGGACTGTTTAGTCTTTTTGTAACAAAAAAAGAGAGAGAAATTTGGGGAATTATTAAAGATTGAAGTTTAAAGGGTATATTGGTCTTTTAACTTAAAAGAAAAGAGAAAAAAAAAAGAATTTGGTTTGAATTTTAAAGGCGACACGTGTGTGTGGTGTTGCCTTAGGAAAGTTGTGTGTGACGTGTCTTAAAAAAAAAGAGAGAAACAGAAAAGGAAAGGAAAGAAAAGAAAAGAAGAAAGAAGGGAAAAAAAAGAAAGAACAGAGAGGGGTGAAACGAAAATGGAGAAGGAAAAAGGAGGGAGAGAGAACGATGGTGAAGAAGAGTTTGAAGAAATTTGTTTTAAAAGCAGCGGTACGGAGTTATGGATTCATAGTTTGGTAAGTTTTTTAAAACTAAGTAGGAGAAATCAYGGGTTATAGGAYTKTTTAAGGTGAAATTTTGTGGGTTTTATTCTTTAGAAATTCTGTGAATCTGTGGATTTTTGTGGTTATATTCAAGAAATTGCTTAGAAGAAAATTTGAATTTCTGGCCTTAATAATCGTTTTACAGAAAACGTAATTGTTATTATGGGTATCTTTAATGGTGGAATTTGAGGGGAATTTGTGAAGAAGAAGAAGGAAATTGAAGGTAGAGTTTATGGAATTTTAGAAGGTTTGAAGAGTAGGAGTTTAGAGAAAAGTTCATAAAAAGAAAAAGGAAAACAGAGAA